CACAAATGGGGTTTAGCGACTCCGCCGTATGCAGCGCCAGGAGCGGCCACGCATCGAGGAGTTTGCTCACCAGCGGTGAGCGACGGGAGCGACGGCGCGATCGAGGAGTGCGCCCCCGGGCGGGGCCAAAGCCAGCGGCCTGCAGCAGATTTCGTCCCCCCCCCACCCCAGGGGTGGACAAAACCCCCTTTTACCCAGCGGTCCAACGTATTGACAAAATCAAGACGGATGCTTCGCGCAGTTTTCGGCCACAGGGGGCCCTCGCAAGGCCCAACAAAACGACTCACGATGAAAGCCTGGCCCTGGGGAACGCTTCGGGACTTCCAGGGACCCCGTCTTGAGAAAACCAAGGCGTCGGATGCCTGGGTAGCACAGCACCCTGCAATGAGAACGGCGCGGGACCAGACCCAGCGTGCTCAGGCCCGCGACAACTGCGGCCCCCTCGGCACGGCCCCGAGAGCCGAACAAAAGGGCAACTGGCCAGTCAACCTCCGACCCCCTATCCTATCCTGATGGCATGAGGTCCTTCCAGGTGCTGCCATTGGCCCCCTCCTGCAGGTACCGTCTGGTACCGCGTGAGAGGACCATTCCGAAAATGGGCCGATCACCGTTGAAGGGGCCAGCGAGGCATTTGTGAGGGGGCAGAGACGGACGGGGGCCCGAAAGAAGAGGTCGAAGGTCCGACCCCCTCCCCTCTTTCCTCGGCACTCCCGAAAGGAGGACGGAACAAAAAGGCAAGGCGTCCAACTGCAAACGTTGTCCAACGCCGACGATGGCCGTGGTTGGGCGCGCGACTTTTCGCCCCCAGCGGACTTCCTCTCGCAGCGGCACCGACGGCGAGTCTGATCTCATGTGGGCCAGGACTGCTGCTGGTCTTCGCCCCTCTGCTTCCCGCACCCACTCCGGTCGTAGCGATTTCCCCTCGCCCCTGGTGAGGCTTCGTGGTGCGCGCAAGGAGCTCCCCCGTCTAGTCCCGGCGCCCCAGGGTGGAGGTGTTGAGACCTCCCTGGACGACTCGAGGGGCCTGTTGTTGCCAGCTGGAGCTCCTCGGGGGGCCTGTTGAAACCAGCCGTGACTAACTGGGGGGGCTGCCTTTGCGCAGCCCGAAGCCTCACCAACCTCCACGGGCCCCGTGAGCGTCAAAAGCCGGCTCAGGATCAAAAACTGGTCCCGGGGAAAGACCCGTGTCCAGGACCCGTCTCCCTCAGGACCCTTCTCCGTCATGAAAAAGGGAAGAGGGGGACTACGACAACGACGACAATGACGACTGCCATGAAGGCAAAGACGGCAAAAAACACGTTGACGGCGGAGCAAATTCATCACATATTTTCCGTAACGTCGAGCTCCAGAGGTCTCGACCCATTCCCTGGGACCCGTTTGTCATCCCGAGTCGTTTTGTTGTCAGGGCCTTCCGAGGCTGAAAACAGCGGAAAACCTTCCGCCGCGATTGTTTCATGACTCCAAGGGGTCTGGGTCACTCGCCCCGCGCTCGTCCCCCCTGCTCTGGAGGTCGCGAGCGCCTCCAAGCTCTCCCTGCTGGCCGGGTAGGACGCGTCGTTCCCGCCGTGCGCGAGCACCACCGGCACGCCCTGCGGGGGGCGCGGGGCCCCGCGCGCGGCCGCGGGCCTGGGCCAGCTGGTCTCTCGCGCGCGTCCTGCGCGAGGCGCGTCGCGCCGCCCCTGGGAGAAGATCAGCTGGCTTTCCGAGGAGGAGGAGGATCGGGGGGGATCCAGGATCGGGGGAATATCGGGGAGGGCCGAGGAGGGTCGAGGAGGATCGGGGAGTAACCTCCGCGCCCCAGCGGGTGCCAGCGTCCCGGCGTCGCGAGACAGTCGCGGCACCACCAGAAATCGCGAGCAAAGCCCTGGGCCCCTCTGGAGCTGGATCGATACGCGAAGGCCCCATCTTTCTGAGACTTTTCTCGAGCGGGATCGACACGTGAGGGCCCCAGGGCTCGACACCGGGCGAAAACGCCTGGCGTGAAAACGTGGCAGGTCACAAGGGAGGACACATGGGACCAGGGAGGACACATGGGACCAGGGGAACAGGACACAAGGGTGGCTTGGGCTTGATCCGCCTGGGGGTTCAGGGTAACCCCCTGGGCGGTGCCGTGGGGCGTGCCTGGAGACCCCGGCCTGGGGGGTGTGCTGCTCGCCCTGCCGAGGCCACGCGGCCCGAGCTTCACAAGGCCACGCTGCTCATCCTGCCACGGGCTGCCCCTCCCCAGAGCTCCGACGCCCTGCCCCTTCCCACACGCGGGCCCCCCGAGGCCCCGACTGCTTCCCCGCAGGCGTCCCGAACAATTCATCTGACGGCCCCCAGGCCCTGCGAAGGGCCCCATGAAGCCGAGGATCAGCAAAAACCTTCCGACGTGATTCTTCCGGCACGAGAGGAAGTCCGGGTCGGGCCTGAGGCAGCCGTCCGCAGCTCGGGTGCACGTTGATCATCACCGTCGGGCCGGCCCACAAGCCCGTCTCCCACAGGCGCGCGACGTAGGCACCTCGGAGGCGAGCGGCGGCGCCGGGGAGCGGAGGCGAACGCGCCAGAGCGTGCGCAGAAGGCCGTGGGCGACCCTGGGCAACCAGCGTTTTTGTTGTTGCCTGTGTGTATGTGTGTGTGTGCGTGTGTGCGTGTGCGTGTGTGGCCGCAACGCCCAAAAGTGTGCGTATTCTCGCACTACTGGTTCGGTGCTTGCAGTATTCGACCTGGCTGATGACACAATTTGCACGCGCTGCGTTTGATGCTGCCACGCGGCGGCTTTCACACATCCCGTAGCGCTGGCCGGTCCGTAATTTTCCACCTCCACCCATCGGCTTCGGTCGCTAGGTTGGCCACACCACCAATCTGTTTACAGCATGTGTTGCGCTTGACTGTCTAACACCGATGTTGTGATCAGTGGCCGTAATTAGCCGTTGGCTCTCGCGCTTTAGTTGATTCTGAATTGAATAATCTCCTCGTTTTCTGGCTGCTGCACGTTTCTGGCTTGGACTTGCAATCCCTCTTCCGCACTCATTCATTGCATGTTGCGGTGATGCTGCTTGCGCGCCGCGCTATCGACAACGTTCGCTCGCAATTAGCACCTCCATCTGCTGTTCGCGCTTGAGAACCCTCTGCGCCGCCGGCTTAGAAAAAGTGAGTGTCTGTGTGCACGCTTGTGCGCTGCGCCATCGAGAATGTTCGGTCGCAATTAGCACTTCATCTGCTGTTTGCGCTTGGGGACCCTCTGCGCCGCTGGAAAATTTGTGTCTGTGCGCATGTGGGTGTGTGTGTACAGCCTTTGGTTTTCCCCCGCGCACTGTTTCGGTCGCCTGCGGACCTCCCCGCTCAGGTGACGGCACACGGTGTGCCTTGGGCTGCCGCTGGCTCCCCCTGGCTGGGTGGAGGTTTCAGTGGACTGGGCGCTGAGTGGTTCAGCCTGCAGCGCCTGTGCAGCCTTAGGTCTTCCCCCGCGTTCCGGCTCGGGTACACTGCTCAGCCGTTCGGCTGGAGTCTGGCGCCGCCTCGGCAACTCACTCCGGTGCCTACGCGCATTCTTCTCGTCAGCCCGTTTACTTCGGTTCACGCTGCTGCGCCTATGTGCGTTGCTTGTGAATTTAGGTCATTTTGTCCTGTACATGTGCAACTGCGAGCTCGTTTTGCAGGTGCGAGCTCTCCCGCCGACACTGGCGGCTTTGTTCGCAAATTCGCACCGTTCCGCATCCCGGACGCCGCTTCCGCTCCCTGACCGTCGCCTTGGAGCCGCCGACCAAGAAAGTGTGTGTGTGTGTGTGTGTGTGTGTGTGCGTGCGTGCGTGTGTGTGTGTGTGTGCGCGTGTGTGTGCGTGTGACAACTCAGGCGGCATCCTGCCGCGGCGTCCCCTGCCGAGAGCTCTCCCGGGGCGCCCGACTCGTCCCGGCCCACGACGGCCTCGCTGAGTTGCCCCCCGGGTGGAGGGAAGCATCTTCAGAAGAGGTCTGGGGGCCCGGTGACGGGAAGCAGGAGAGGTTTGCGGCGAAGACCACCAACAACCCTGCGGCCACGAACCCCCCTGCCGGAGCAGGCGGGGAGCAGGCGTCGGGTACGGGGGCCGCCAACGACCCCCCAGCCACCGTCGCCTGCATCGATGCGAAGCAGCGCTGCCCCCACGGCGGACAAACGCACCCTGTGCCAGGACCGCCCCTACCAAAACCGCATCGCCCCGGACTCGGCACCCTACCGGGCCCTCTCCCCTCGGGGTTCCGCTGGGCCCAGAAGGGCGCGTGCCCGCCGTCCGACTCTTGTTCGGTGACGCCTATGGCTAGGGCGTGTGGTGGCACTAGGGTTGCTGGCACAAGGAGAAGGTCTTCTTCGCCACGGAAAGACTGTAGAACGGAGGGGCACCACCCCGGGCACCACAAGCGTCCCTCGTCGCCACGGCTGGAAATTGGTACCCCTATGCGCCGTCTCACGCATGTGGATAGCGTGCCGCTGCCCAGACGGGGCGGCGCCTGTCCACTTTGCGTCCCGCCGAGGCTGCGCTGGCCCGGCCGCAGGGCAGCGCCGGCGGGCATCGCGACTGGCCCCCTCCCTCTTCCACGGTCACTTCGCCCCACCCTCCCGTCCATGTGGCGATGAATGCTGGCAGCTCGAGCGCCGAGGATTACCGCAGCACCCCCCAGGGCGGGGAGAGTGCCACCCCTGCCCTGTCTCAGGTGTCCTCTGCCGCGACCCCCTGAATGCCAACGGGGCCCTGGCCGCCACAATCAAGGACATGCAGCGAGCAGGCGGCGGACCCAGTGCGGCCTTGGCCAGGTATTGCTCTCTGCGCGGTGGGGGCAACAGGGACCCCAGCCGACACGACGCCGCCTTCCTTCGCAGCTTCCTGCGCTTCCTGGCCTCGTCGCCCCTCTGACTCTCTGCGGCTGCACCGACGGGTCGCAGCAAGCCTTCCATGCGCCGTGGCGCTTCTGCGACAATTGCGCCCCTGGTCGCAGGGAGTGCTCCGTAACGTCCTTGCACCTATTCGGTGTCCCACCCCCTATTGCCTGGTATTCGGGCCTAACATCCATCCACTGGTTTCTGGTATGCTGGTCGCTGCCGCTCTTCTGCTGCGCCTTGCCCGGCCATCGCGGCTTGCGCCTAGTATAGGCCCTCTGGTCTCGGCGCACGTCCCGCTCCGGTGGCCTTCCTGGGCCCCGTCGCTCCCCCTGTTGGCGTGGTCCTCTCCACTGCTCCGCCCGCCTTCCCTGGCGCCCCCAGCTCCGTGTCGCACCCGCGCCTCGTCGTTCCTCCTGGTCTCGGCGCTCCCCACCGTTGCCAACGTTCGGGGTGCTCTCCCCTCGGCAACGGGTCGAGACTCTGCTTTGCTCTTCCTGCTCCCCCTACCGCCGCCCTTCCGCGGGCTGCCCGCTCCCGCTTCTGCTCTGTGCCGCTCAATGCTGCGCGGTGCTGCCGTCGCTTGCCATCCACCCCTCCCTGCCCGCGCCTCGCAGGCCCGCAAGTCTCGGCGCTTTGGCTCATCCTTGGACCGTGCCTTGGTGCACTTGGTTGGGGCTCTGCTGCATCGTGCTTTTCGGCAGCCCATTCGGGCCTCTCCGCCGTCCACCTCCCCGCACGCGCCTCGTAAGCCCGCAGGTCTCGGCGCACTGGCTCATCCCTGGACTGTGCTCGGTTCTTGGGTCGGGCTTTGCTTCGTTGTGTTCCCCTCCCCCAGCCGCAGCTCCATGCTGCCTCCCCCAGCTTCAGCTCAATGCAGCCCAGTGCATCTCTGTTCCAGCGCTGGTCCCCCCCCCCCGGCGCTCCCCCCGCCGCAACCGGCAACTCTGAATGTCCTGGCTTCCTCTCTTCCTGTCGCGCCGGGGCTCCTCCTCCTCCTTCCGTGCATCGCGGCCTTAATTTGCATACAGCGTGTCGCCCTGCCCAGCCGCCGACGCAAAAAGTGTGTGTGTGCGCGTGTGTGTGTGCGCGTGTGTGTGTGTGTGTGTGTGTGTGTGTGTGTGTGATTGTGTCTGTGCATATTTTCTGTTAGAGCCCTTGCATCTTTCGCTCAGCGACTTCGTCGCCATTACCTCGCTGCATACCGCCCATGCGGCTTAGCCGCCATGGGTGTCTGCCTTCTTTTTGCGTTCCGCCCTTGTGCCATGTGGCGTGCCCCACGTGTCACCAGGTGCGTCCGGTGCCTTTGCACGACTTTGCCGCCGTCGGCGGCGTCGCGCCTACAGCTCGGCCCTGCTGACAGCCTCGCGACACTCCATGACGGTTGTCGCGTGTTGTCTGGCTCTCTCAGTGCCGCCGCGATTCGGCCGCGGGCCGAATCTGCGCGCGGCGACACCGCCGTGCTGTCAACGCGCAGTTGCGCGACTCTCGCGCTCGGCTGCCTCTTCGTGTGGACGCGTATCCTCGGCTGTATGGTGCCGAGTTGCGGGGGTTTCGGCCTCTGGTAGGTCATATGGTGGCCTCGGTCGGCTGTCCGACCGATTTCTGTTGCGTCGTTTTGGCACGACCGCGCGTCTCCTCGTGCTGACTTCGCTTTCTCCGCCCCTCCCATTTTTGTCTGCGGTGACGGCGGTGGTCAGGTGGTCGACCTCCGCTCACTGGTGCCACTACACGGGCATTTTGTTGGCCTACACTCTACCAAATCTGTTGCCAGACCGTGCTGGGTCAGCGTTTCATCCCAAAACGTAGGCTGGTCTGGCAGCCGTTGCAGGTTTTCTCGCGCTTCATTGTCTAACATCGTTCTTCGGTGATTCAGTGGCCGCCAACTCGCACCAGACTGCTCGCGCTTCAGTTTATTTCGAATTGAGTTGCCTCCTCGGTTTTCTGGCCGCTGCACGTTCGCATGGATTTGCAGTTCCTCTTTCACACCACCCATCCTGCACTCGTCAGTGTGCAACTCTTCGTGCACTGTGCCATCGACGATGTTCGATCGCAGTTCGCACTTCTGTCTGCTGCTTGAAGACCCGCTGCGCCGCCGACTGTCAATTTGCCTGGCGAAGACCCAACCATATGCAGCGCCGCATCTGGTGGAGTCCCTTTGGGGTCACGCAGCGTGTGAAGAGTGTGCCAAAATGGGTGCAGTGGGCGAACGCGAGCGCTGGCATTTGGGCCTTCGGTGGAATTCCCTATGGGGCGACGAAACGTTTGAGGGGTGTCCCAACATGGGCGCGGTGGGCGCATGCGAGCGTTGGCATGTGCGCCTTCGGTAGAGCTCCCTATGGGGCCACAAAACAAGTGAGTGGTGTGCCAAAATGGGTGCGGTGGGCGCGTGCGAGCGCTGGCATCTGGGCCTTCGGCGGAGCTCCCTATGGGGCCAAGAAAAGATTAAGGGGTGTCCCAACATTGGTGCGGTGGGCGCATGTGGGCGCTGGCATCTGGGCCTTCGGTGGAGCTCCCTATAAAGCGTTTGAAGGGTGTGCCAAAATGGGTGCGCTGGGCGCATGCGAGCGCCGGATGTGGGGCCTGTGGCGGAGCTCCCTATGAGGCCACAAAACGTGAAGGGTGTGCCAAAATGGGTGCGGCGGGCGCATGCGAGCGCTGGCATC